AAGCCACACACGCAACGACCCATCCCGGTCCCGGGAGCACCCTCCCCCCTTCTCTCCTCTGCAGGCACATCCCCACCTCCCCCTGGCAAGGGCAACTCACCCGTGCTCACATGGATCTTCTTCATCCAGGGGTAGACCACCGGCTCCTTCCCCTTCAACCCGGGCAGGCTCTTGTCGGGCAGCAGCGGACAGGCGGGCCCGGTGCCGGCCCCGGCGGCGGGGGCTGCTTCGCAGCGGCGCTGCAGGGCATGGCCTGGGAGCAGGGGCTGGGGCGGGCCGGGGTGGCCCTTGGCGGGCGGCGGCGGCGAGGCGCCCGGGGGCGGCTGCTCAGGGCCCGGGGCGGCGCTGCCGGCGCTGCTGTAGCTGTAGGGCGCCTGGGGGTAGGAGGGTGCCTGCGCGGGGTAGAGCGCCTCGGGAGGCGGCCCCGGCGGCCCCGGCGGCGCCGCGGGAGCCTGGTAGCCCGGTTCCCGGCGCGGCCGCGGGAAGTACTCGGGCAGCGCCGGGCCCGGGTGCGCGGCGTGCAGGTGCGGCGGCGGCGGCGGCGGCGGCGGCGGCGGGGCGTGCGGGTGCGAGTGGTGCGGGTGGTAGCTGGCGGAGCTGCCGGCGCTGCCGCTGTGCTGCGTGTATTCCTCGCAGGGAGGGAATTTGGGCTCGATGTAGTTGGAGTTTATCAAAAACGAACTCATGGTCATTAATTTGTGAAGTGCAAAAATACTAATTTTTCTCGCGTTGTCGTTTTTCTGGGCTCGGCGAGGCCACTCCCCTTCCCCCCCCTTCCCTCCCTTCCCTCCCTCTCCCCCTCCCGCTGCTGTCAAGTGCTGCCGCTGCCAAAGTTTGGGCCTCCAGCCCTTCCCCCCCCCTCTCCCCGCTGCACTCCCCTCCCTTCCTCTCTTCCCACCCCTGGAGCGCCTACAACACACACAAACACACACCCGCGCACACACACACCCGCACCCCCCGCCGCCCCGCCACCACCTGACCGCCAGCGCCAATTACCGCGCGGGGCCGCGGACCCCGGATCAGGAAATGGAAGAGGGACGAGCGGCCGCAGGGCAGCTCCGCGCCCGCGGACCCTTCGCGGGGACGGCGCCTCCCCCACGGGCGGCGGCTGGCTGGCGAGGGAGCGCCCCGCGTCCGCTCCTCACCAGCATCCCCGGCTCCTCCTGCCCGCCGACCCGGGCAGCGTCCAGCAGTCGCGGTGTCAAGCGAGATAAAACTAATCCGGCTTTGACAGTCTCCCACCCACCCCGCCCGCCCCAGCACTTTTTGTGTCTTCGTTCTCCCGTGGGAGAGTGTAGGAAGCAGGGCGAGGAAGCGGAGCGCAGCCCAGCTGCGTGATCCAGAAGGAGGCAGGCATTGCACAAGGCGTTGCACAATCCTTTAAACAAACCCATCTCCGAATGCCGGGGCTGCGCGCAGGCAGAGGGCGGCAGCGGCTGTCGGGCACAGGCCACCGGCCGCCCTCCAGGGTCTGTCCCCAGCGCCCCGCCGCTGCGGACCGCGGGCGGCCGCGAGCTGCAGGGACAGCCCTTTGCCCCTTTGAAGCTGGGCTAATTGGAGGAATAGACGCAAAAGTTAGAACGAAGGTCGCGGGCAGGCCGAGGAGAGTCCTCGAGGGGCTTGTGGGGTGTGAGGCATAGAGCGAGCCTGAAAATAACGGGGAACAGAGGGGAAAGGGAGAGGGGAAGATGGACACGACGGTACCAAACGCTTCCTACCGGGCTCACTGTGAGCATCCCTCCCCGCGGAGCAGA